TCTTCGTCTGCTCCCTGAACATGTCCTCCCTTGTGCATTTTCGCCTGTGGATCTGAGCCAGGTGGGCAGATGCTTCAAAAGAGGGAGTACGCAGGGAGTGGATGCAGTCCAAGCTGCAATGAAAAGTTACAATGGTACACATTACAGCAGATACATTGTGTTAAGCCTAACCCTAATCTGTTAACCTACACTGAAGGTCTCTGTAAAAATAATGGAGATATGTTCTATGCAAGACCAAACATTGACTTTAAAGAGGGCACTTTATAGCAGGTGTACAGAGTTCTTAGGGGAGCATCTGGACATGCGGTTTGGAGGTAAGCAGGCATGGTAAGGGGTCAGCCAGGGCAGGAGCCTGCAGGTGGGGAGGAGGGGGGCAATGGGAGAGGGCAGCTTTTCTCTGCACCCAGAATATGCCGGGTCTAGCACATGTGGCTGTCTGAGACCGTGCTACTTTTTTAGCCTGGGGGGGAGGGAACCTCTTCAGTTTCTCTCCTCCTGCCCAGCTTCCCCTTCTCCTTCATCCAGGTTGCTAGGAGAGATATCAGTCTTCTCACAGAGTGATTTGCAGTGGATGCTGACTGAATGTTGCCATAAACCTGGGCCTTATGCTGCAAATCTTTGTGGTTCAGTGATGCCAGACCACTTACTGGTGGCTTCACGAGGGAAGGTGGCCTACCATGGAGGACAGAATAAGGCAGGCCTCCCCAAAAATACCTCGTGAGAAGAGTCAAAGAGTTCCTAGCTGAGAGCTTCATGGAGATGTGTAGGCAAGACTCCCATTCCATCTGTAGACACATTAACAAGCTGTTCTGGGTGCCCATGCTGTGTAGGCACAGAGTGCACCACACATCACGCCCAACTGCCTTAACTGCTTGTAGTAAGGAAAAAAATTGTGAACTCACCAGAAGTTCCCTCCCCGAGGTCAGTACTCAAATGGGAGACATCCTGGGAGGAGGGGTCTGCTCCAGTGTCATGGCCAGATCTTGGCTCTTGTTGAGCGCTGACTGGCTATGCTCCTCTTATTCCTCCTCCTCTTCCTCCCCCTCTGCCACCATGCTGTCCTCCACGCTGATGCTAGAACTATCTTGGCTGGACTCCATGGCCAGGCTTGGGAAGCTGGACAGGTCCCCCACCCTCCTGCCCCATAATGGCATCCAACTGCTTCTAAAAGCAGCATCTGTGAGGTGCTGCACAAGACCATCCATTAGCCTCCTTACCCTTGTGGTGAGACTGTCTCAGCTCCCTGATTTTACCTTGGTGCTGCTGGGCCTACCTGGAATGGCCTTTAGCCACCAGGCAGCTTGCGATCTTTGCGTAAATGTCTGCATTTCACTTGCTAGTTCGGAGCTCAGAGAGAATGGATTCATTTCCCTAAACCTTGAGGAGGTCCAAGATCTCCAGGACTTTCCACGCTGGTGTTCTTCTGTATCCTTGGGAACTGGAGCCCATGGGAGTAAAAATACTTGAATTCATTGAAGTCAGGTCCACATGTGCAGTGATGTGCTGCTTGCTCTGAGATGTGTTCTCAGGGCTGGCCACACAGGAAATGCCATTCAAATTTTCCCAGGGCTTTTTCTGTTCACCTGGACAGCAGAAGAGGTGCAAGTTCTGGCCAGAGCAGGGAACTGGGGGATGCCTCCCAGAGGCCAATAGCCATGACTTTCACCAATGCTGTGTGTCTACACTATCGTAAACTCGACCATGAAAGGTTGGGAATAGCATTATTCCTTGTGAAATCAGAAGTAACCAACATCGACTTCAGTGGCCCTTAAGGTCAATGTAACAGGCTTGGTAGTGCGGACGCATTGTTTAGAAAATCAACCTTATGCAGCTAAATTCGATATAAACTCCTAGTATAGAGCAGGCCCAAGAGCTTCTGAAATTGAGTTAGTAATGCAGTGGGGACTTGCCTACTCTATGCTGCTAATCCAAACACTCTGGGCTAACTGGAGTGTCATTAAGTTGAGGATAGAAAATTCTAGCTAAGCCTGGAGTGAAAAGCCTAGGACAATGGGTTTGTTGTTACTTCTTATTCCCCCTCTGCAGTACTAGCTTGCATAGCAAACAAATCTGAATAGAAGCACGTATAAAATCAGCAACTCAATCTGTCTTTCTACATCCCGGTGATTTCAATGAAAATTTGTTAAATGTTTAAATATGGACCAATAAACATGCAGCTCTCACATTTCATGGTATCAGGGAAATCAAGCTATTCAATCATCCGTTCTTGCACTATCCATCCATCATTTGTTTAGTTCACTTAAAGTTCATTTTAGTGCTATATTCCATTGTAACTATCTTATTTGTGTGCAGTAGTCTATTTGTTTTTTTGTTTCCTGTGTGTGGTAGTTTTAAATAACTAAGGTCTGTGTTTTCTATAAAGACAGTCAGCCATCCCATGTTCAGCTTAGCACAGCTACAGCCCACATATGCTATGATCTTGCATCGAGCTTTTACTTTTGTTCTTTCCTGTGTAGGCTTCCTTTTATTACAGGAGCCTTTGACTTTTACTGTGGGATCCTTTGTGCTGCAATCTAGCCCTAGAGACTACAACTCCCATGAGCCCCTGAGAAAAAAGAGGGAAAAACATTTTCTTTCTTCCAGGCAGGGAGGGAGAGAGAGAGTTAGAGGGCTACATTTTGGAAAGAGCAGCCAGATTGCTGGTGTGGAGCCTTTTCCAGGCCAGGAGTTGTTGTGTTGAAGCTAGGACCTGTTACTGACAGCCTGCTGGGGATTGGATCTAGAAGGCTGCTTCAGGGGCAGTTGATGATTGTCCATGGAGGGGAGAGACCCTGGATGTGCCTGTGGCTGAGAAGGGCCTGCATAACCCTGCATAGAAGGTAACTATGTGTAACTGTTAGCTATTTGGGAAAGTGCTGACTGGGACGGAGCACAGAAGACAAATTGACACTGTGTTCAAAGAGAGGCAGAGTGATAGTGAACCAGAGCTGCTGGCATTTGGTGGGGCCTGCTCTAGTGGCAGAGGCATTTTGCAGCTGGCTGGCTGCCTGCCTGCCTACCTGGTAGTGGCAGAGGCATTTTGCAGCTGGCTGCCTGCCTACCTGTAGCACACACAAAACCTGCACAGTGCTGTCTCCATCTGCAGATCTTTAAACATACCCACACAAGTGTCTGGGACTCTGAATGCAGAGGAGTGCACATGCTAGGGTGGTATAAATGGTAGCAGGATAAATACCAGATGGATAAATTTCCTTTTTTTCTTTGTACTTTAATTGATTTTATTCACTTTTAATCTGTTAAAATCTGTTTCTTTAAGTTGTGAAGTAACTTAATGTAATGTGTGTTCATTCTAATTGAATCCATTAGACATATATTATTTATAATTGTCTTGGAGTTAAATCCAGATTATTGTTGGAATAATTTTATTCCTGGAGGCTCCCAAGGCAGACCATTAAGTGTGAAGGCACACCATTAAGTGTGTACAGGGCCAGCCAGGTGGAGGCACCCCCATTATATATTCCTTTAGGGGCAAGAGACTGCAGCAAGGGGGTGGATAGGGAATCTCCAACTAAACATCACCACTGGGGTACTCAGGATCTCCTTTTATGTTAAAAACATCAGGTGCCCGAGGCACACAGATGAGTATGGCCTGCTCCCGAGTAACCCAGGAAGGAAAAAGGGGGTTACACCTGTTTTCATAGTCTGAAAGATTATTCATATTTAAATAATCTGTTTGTTTTATAGCTATCAAAATACACAATATTTTGCTTCTCACCAACCACAGATACAGATAACAATAGGGAAAATAGAATTGGCTCATGCAAACCATTACACATGCAAGTAGAATTTCTTCATGCAAGAAGCCCTACTGAACTCCCTGGGACTGTTCATGGGAGAAAGGACTACAAAGATTAGCCCTAAAAAGAGGGAATTTGGTAACTTCTTTGTTGTGTGTGATACAGAATGTCAGAATACATGATCACAAAGGTCCCTTCTGGCTTTAGAATCTATGAACTATTTAAAATTCTCAGGCCCCTATGCAGGAATTTCTGGTGGGGGTGCTTTTTTATAAATGTGGACCACAAGGGTGTGACTGCACCCTTCATGGTCCCCCAAGTAAGTGGGGAAATCAGCCCCAGCCTTCCCCCAGCCGGCTAGAGCATAGGGGAAGGGAGGCTCAGACAGCAGGCTGCTCTTGCCTTCCCCAGGCCAGCTGGAGCATGCTTACTTGGGGGACCCTAGGAGATGCTTTCACACCCTTCGCACCCCCTCTCCACTACGTATGGGCCTGATTCTTGGCTTGGGGTTATGAACAGTCATTAGGGAGTTGTGACCACCCTGCCTGTGACATATTGCTAAATAGGAACAGAATCACAGCTAGAGCCAAGCTAGATTGAGAAAAGTGCTGGGCGGTTCCGGTATGAAAGAGTGAGAACTTGGCGGTAGACAGTTTAAGGCCAAACGTGGATCTCCTACACTGAGAGTTATTCTAGCAGAATTAATATCTGGTGCCTTAGTCTTTTCACTGTAACTAGAATCCATTTAACACCTCTCCCCTGTAGCTTTCCATCTCAAATTTGCAATATTTTGTTCACAAGGAGGAAAAACAATTAAAATGCATATCTAAATATGTACAATATCTCCATTTGTCCAGGACTTGCACTGCTTACCCCCAAAAGATTTATTTTTAATTTGTGAGCATGTGAAGGTATGTTTATAGATCCATTTATAGCAGCAGCCAGATGAACACAAAATCCCACTCTCAGGTGGCATCTTGCAATTTGGGTAGTGCCATATGTGACCAACGTATTAGTATTCATGTTTAGCTGAGCTGATGACACTTGACATGTGCAATATATTGGATATTATGAAAACTAAGATTATTTTTCCTCTTAGTTTTATCATGTTCCATACTGATGGCATTTGCAATGTGTTACCAGCCCCGAAAGATAGTGTTAAAGAAAAAAAATAATGCATTTCTAAATAATGCCACAGTAAGTGTACATATTCACATGTAAGTACATTTGGAATTACCAAACCTTAATTAAACAGGCATTGGTCACCACTTGCTTTGGATCTACTATGTCCACCAGGGGCTCCTTCATGGCAACATCTCTAATACAGGTCATGTCGAAGCCATACACATTCTCCCACCCTGTCAATGCAAATGGATGTGTCAGAAACAAGAAGGAACGTAAAGAAATAACTAGATAAATGCATCTTTTGCACTTTGAGATTCTGGCATAGAAGCTGCTATTCAAAGCATTTCACAACCAATGAGTTAATTTTCACAACAACCCTGTTGAATAAGTAAGTAGTTTTATTTCCATTTAATAGACCAGGTAACTGAGGCACAAGAAGATCAAGGCTCACAATTTTGAAAGTAGCCTTTTAGCTTGGGTTCCCCAATAACTGAGACACCCAAGATCAGTGGACACTTTTGAAGAATTAGGTATTTAAATGAGTTGCACAAAATCACACCGTAAGTCAGCCTAATAGTCAGGAATAGAACTCAGGAGTGCTGGATCCTTGTCCCTTGCTTTGACTTCTAAACAACATTTCATCTCGTAGGCCTTAATCTTGCAAAAAATATGAGTAGTCCCTATTGTGCCAGTGGATTAAGCACGAGAGTAAAGTTATGCCTATTTTTTAAATACTTGGAGGATCAAGACCTTAATGCAGGGACGGGTAAAACAGGGTGATTGGATGTGGCCCACAGCTCAACAGGAGCCTGAGCCATGCTCCCTGCCTGCCCTGTCACCTATACACTGCTCAGAGCAGCTCTCTGAATGCTGTGAATCCAGAGAAAGAGGGAGAGGCTTCACATACTGCCCCTGCCCCAGCACAATCTTGCAGCTCCCATTGTCCGGTTTCTGGTCAATGGGAGCTACCTGTTTGCAGGACAGGAAGTGCATGAAATACTCCTGGCTCCCTCCCCCCAGGCTCACAGCATTTAGAGCAAGAGTGGGCAATAATTTTTGATTGACGGCCACTCCAATATTTTGGAAAGTGCTCGAGGGCTGCACTCTTCCATGATAGTAATGGGTGAGATGCAGGGTCTGGGATGGAGGTTGGGGGCAGAAGGGAGCTCGGGGTAAGGGATTGGAGGGACGAAGGTGGGAAGGAGTTTGGGTGAAGGAGGTGGTTGTGACCTAGGGCAGGGGACTGGAGGGCAGGGGTTTGGGATGTGACCTAGGGAAGGAAGGGATTGTGATCTGGGGCAGGAGATTGGGGTGCTAGATCTGGCAGAGCGTATGGGTGTAAAAGGGGGGCAGAGGGTATGGGTATGTTGATTGGGTAGGCAGAGGGTTGGGGAAGAGAGGGGCTGGGGTTCCACAGGCAGGCTTTGGCCAGGAGACTTACTAGCCAGAAGCCAAACCAGGCTGCCTGCCTACAGAGCCAAGGCTTTCAGAGCTTAAAATGTTTCCCAGACAGAGAGCCTGCCTGACCGGCCATGTGCCTGTGTGAATAACAGCCCAAGAGGGGGGCATGGTTCTTTTTGTCTGCGTGTTATTCAAACAAGCAGCTCCCATTGGCCAGTTTCTGGCCAGAAACCAGCCAATGGGATTGTGCTTGGGGCAGAGGCAGCTCCTGAAGCTTTCTCCCCTCCCCTCCAGTTTTGAAGAAGAAATGGGGCCTGGCAGCCATGTTTCTGAGAAGCATGTGGAGAAGTGGGGCAAGCAGGGGAGCCTGCCTGGGACTCCCCGCTGCCTCCATGGGTCGAATCTGGTGGCTCGGTGGACAGGATCCAGCCTGTTGGCCATATTTTGCCCAGGTCTGCTTTAGAGCAGCACATACCCTCTGCCCCAGCCGCTCTGAGCCACATGTGTGGGCATGGCAGGCAGGGAGTCTAGTTGAGGAACCTGCTGGGCTTCTGGTTGGGAGCCACCTAGGTAAGTGCCTCCCAGCCAGAGCCTGCCTCTGGCATCCCAGTCCCTCTCTTCTCCCCCACCCTCTGCCTCCCTCCTACCCCCCAGATCCTCCACCCCAATCCCCAGTACCCCCTCCTGCAGCCCTGCCCAAGGTCACAACCACCTCCCAGATCCTGACCCCCTTCCTATACCCTTCGTCCAGGTCAGAATCCTCTCCTGCACCCATGCCCATCCCCCTCCAGCACCCGTATCCCCTTCATGCACTTCAGCCTCCTGCCCAAGGTCACAACCCCCTCCTTCACCCAAACTCCCTCTCAGATCCCCAATCCCTATCCCAAGCTCCCTTCTGCATACAACCTTCATCACAGATCCTGCACCTCCTCCATTAGTATGAAAAAGAGCAGCTCTTGACCACTTACCAAATTCTTGTAGTGGTCCCCCATCAAAAATGTTTGCCCACCTTTGCCTTAATGCAAGTACATCCTGACAGAATGCCTTCTAAAAAGCTTGCAAGCTGCGTTGAGCTTACTGGGTATTTGAACTGTTCTGATGACTGTACCAGTAAGTGCCTTTTATCTTGCTGAGTTTCTTTCTTTGAACAAATGATCCCCTAGGGGGAAAGTACATTGGCTCTGCTCTTACGGTTGACATTTCTTTGTGAAAAAATACAAAGAACTGTTACATTTTGTGGATTTGTTTTTCAAAATCAAAATCATATTATATTCTCCTGAACCAGATGAGTCAAATTCCATTAAACAAACCAGAGTGCCCCATTAAAAGTCTAAACTGAAAGTTACAAAAGTCATGTGGGCTGCAATAGGTGCTGAGTAGAAGAATAGCATGGAAAGTACTCTGAGCATTTAAATATTATTATGCATGAGAACAAGCAAGGTAAATTGACAATCCATAGTAGGAAACAGATTTACAAAAGCTTCTCAGAGCACAGCAGTTGAGTTCTTGGAATTCCCAGCAGGGTCAGAATTGGCAGGTCAAGGTTAGCAGGCAAGATTCGATGGTGCAACATATGTGGCAAAGATGTGTCCTTTGGTAATGGTATCCCAACTTGCTCACATTTCGGGATCAGAGGTAACTTCTGCAAATCTTTTTTTCTTTTCACACTCTTGTGCTTTCTATCCTTAGTCACCCAATATTAGTAATTTCTGAAAGCCCCAGCTCTTTGAGTCATACTACTAGGCTACATCTACACGCCAGGGTTTTTGTGCAAGACGCTTCTACAAAAACTTCTTGCGCAAGAACACGTCCACACTACAAAAGCGCATCACAAAAGCGATGAGCTTTTACACAAGAGAGCATCCAGACTGCATGGATGCTCGCTCAAAAGAAAGCTCTGATTGCCATCCACAGAATAGCCACCAGAGCACCTGTGCTTTTTTTGACTGGCTCTTTTTGTGCAAAACCCCCCATTTGCCCATCCACACACAACTTTTTGTGCAAGAACTCTTGTGCAAAAAGGAGTTATTCCTCATAGAAAGAGGAATACCACACCGCAAAACCCTCCCTGTTCTTTTGATTTACTGTAAACTTACTTGCTCACAAACGCACTTGAGGTGTGGACACTCTGTGGGTTTTTGCATACAAATGGCCATTTTTGCGCAAAAACCCTGTAGTGTAGACGTAGCCCAAGAGAAGAATCTCAGCTTTCATTTTAAGTGCCAACTTCATAGCCCTTGTGATTCCAGAAAAAGAGCTGCAGTTGGCATGTGAGAGACTCTGTTTCCTATCTCAAGAACAACAAAATGATGGGGAGAAATAAAAGTGAAGTGAGATGGAAATCTATAGGAGACAAAAGTGTGGTGCAAGAAGAGATTGGGACAGAAAGGAGTAATGAAGACAGAGAAAGGGGAAAAACTGGTTAATATATATGACACATCTACACTACAGCATTATTTTGAAATAATTCACCTTATTTTGAAATAAGGCGAGCATCCGCACAGCAAGCCTGTTACTTTGAAACTATTTCAAAATAATGGGCTTCTTATTCCGGAACAATAAACTCTCATTTCATAAGGAATAATGCCTACTTCCAATTTGCTATTTCAAAATAGTGCTAGTGTGGATGCTCTACTGCTGCTATTTCTAAATTGTTCCTCCCCAGGGCCATTCAAATTAATTACTCCCCAGTGCTTCCTGGGCTCTAAATTGAAGTAGTGCGTTCAGGTGAAGGGAGCATGCCACGGACTAATTTTGAGGCTTCCCTTTAGCGTGGGTGTGCTTATATGAAGGGAGCATGCCACGGACTAATTTTGAGGCTTCCCTTTAGCGTGGGCGTGCTTATATTGAAATAGTTATTTTGGGAGTTATTATTCCAAAATAACTTATTTTGAAATATCCTTGCAGTGTGGACATACCCATAGAGAAGAAAGATGACATCAGAAAAGAAAAATGTTTTAAAGGAAAATAGGCTTCAGGGACAGGTGAGAACCAGACCCTTTTAAAAGGGATGAAAAAACACACAGAAAAATAAAGAAGGAAAAACAAGGACTCTGAATATACCTGAAGAAAAGATATCTAAACATAAAAGGGAGAGTAGAAAACAGGAAGGAAAAAGAAGGCAAAAAAGTGGGAGGTGCTTTTCAGGATGACGGGTAGACAGTTATGTTATTTTACATGAAGTGTTCTTCATGCAGCATTTTGTAACTATGAATTTATGAGTTTTTTCTGCTTTTTCAACAACAAAATCTGAAAATATTCCTGGCTTTGGACAAGGAGGAGATGACAACCGCTTTGGATGTCATAGATCAGTAGTTCTCAACCAGGCGCATGGGTGCCTGTGGGGACACACATGTCTTCCAGGGGGTATATCAGCTCATCAAGATATTTGCCTAGTGTTTTTAACAGGTTACATAAAAAAGCAATAGCAAAGCCAGTACAAACGACAATTTTATACAGAGACTTATTTATACTGCTTGGTATGCTATATGCTGAATTGTAAGTATTGTACAATGTTTATATGCCAATTGATTTATTTTATAACTATGTGGTAGAAGTGAGACAGTAAGCAATTTTTCAGTAACAGAGTTCTGTGATACTTTTGTATTTTTTGTCTGATTTTGTAAACAGGTAATTTTTAATTGAGGTGAAAGTTGGGTTATGCAAGACAAATCATACTCCTGAAAGAGTTACAATAATCTGGAAAGGTTAAGAGCCACTGTTATAGATGACCCTTGTAATAAATACTATTTGTGGTGCTAATGATTTCTGTTGAGCTCAGTGGGAGTTATTTGTATCCTCTGATGGAAGAACAAGGACCCCCCAAGTCTGGACTTTAGTCAGAGACAAATCAATATATATATATATTTTTTGAAAGTTGTCAAGTTGTAAAACTAGAATGAAGCAGATTAGGGATAAAGGGAAGTTGTATGTGGGGCTCAGGTTGGGGTGTGATTGAGTTCACTAGTTCTTTTCCAAGCTCCTCTATGGCCCTAATAAGTAGAGTCGGTTAGAAATTTTCCAGTGAAACATTTTTTTTTGACAGAAAAGATCTTTGCAGCCCAAATAAAAATGTCTTAGAAAAATTTTTGGTCAAAACTTTCTAAGAAAAATGTTTATTTTAGTTGAAAAATGTAGGAAATATTCACATTGTTTAAAAAAAACTTACTGAAAACTTTTGTTGAGTGGCAGAAAAGTCAACTCTACTCATGCCTTTTTTTCCCAGTGGAAAAAAAAGGTTTTTAAAGTAAAATTATGGTTTTTTCCCCTATCACAGTAAGATGAAAAATTAGGTTTAGATTTTTTTTCCAGAAATAAATTCACAGAAAATTTTGGACAAGTAAAATTCATTTTTAAAAAATGTGGAATATATTTCTTGACCAGCTCCACCAAGAACATTCACACTTATAGTGGTTGCTTCTTGTAAAGATTTTAAGTTCCTTTGAAAACTGTTAATGTTACAGCTGTACTCACTAGAAGGCTAAGAACAGGGAACAGTATAAATTTCACCTGAGTGCTGCCTCTAGGCAACCATGACACTGCATACCTCGGGCAGTCAAAAGTATAGATATTTATTATAATTGTTCTAGATAACACAATGGAATGATGTCATTTAAAAATAGCCTCTAAAATCCAGGGAGTTCATATTTAGGGAAGAATTAAGGGAGAGCAGGAGCAGGAGCAACAATTAGACATTCAACCTAAACAAATACAGGGGAAAGAATGATTCCCTCCCCCCCCACACACACACAAACAAAATTGAAATTAAAGGAGAGCTATGGGCTTGATGGAATGTGACAATGAAATCAAGAGAGTATAATACTGTATGTACACAAAGGGCTTGCTTCTGTTCTCATTGACCAATGATCCCTCTAATTTATAACATCCATGCATGGAATACATTTTGTTATGTGCACCAAGGCAGTGCATATATATTTTCAAAGCTGCTGAAACTAATAAAACACCTAGCAAGCAACGGCTTTAAATTTCGGCCATATGTTCAACTGGTATAAATCAGCCACTTCTGCTGACAGGCCCATACACTGGAATTTCTGTGGGGATGCTTTTTTTGTAAATGTGGACTGCAAGGGTGTGAATGCACCCTCCTGGTCCCCCAAGTAAGTGTGCTCCGGCTGGCCAGGGGAAGGTAGGAGCAGCACACTGCCCGAGTCTCCCTCCCCCGTGCTCTGACCAGCCAGGGGAAGGCTGGGGCTGACTACGTCCCCAAGGAGTGAAGCCCAGCCTGGCCTCGCTCTTGGGGTGGGGAGGGGGAGCAAAATCAGCCCCAGCCTTCCTCTGGCAGGTCAGAGCATGGGGGAAGGAGGCTCCGGCAGTGCGCTGCTCCTACCTTCCCCTGGCCAGCCAAGCAGCTTACTTGGGAGACCATGGGAGGAGGGTGTCCAAACCCTTTGAAGCTCCCCCTGCATATGGGCCTGAGTGAAGTCAACAGAGCTGTGTTGATTTACACCACCTGAAGATCCAGACTATTAAACCAAAAGTAATTCTTTAAATGGCAGTTTGCAAATAATGCACCACATGTAAGAAAGCCCCGGGAGGGTTGTGTTCTCCAACCTCACACTAGTGTAAACTAGGAGTAACTCCAGTGAAATCACACTGGTGTAAAATTAAGACAAGGGAAAGGAGAATCACATCCACTATATCTATGAGGAACAATCCACACACAATGTAAATGGGGAAATAAAAAATATTTTCATGGAGCTGTTCACAGAGGAGGAATATATTAGACTTGTACTTACAGTGAATTTTGAAGTCCTTGTACTGTCTGTCTTCAATTGCTACCACGTACAAAGCAGCCCGGTCTGGAAACATAAGCCCTCCAGGTTTCTGTTGATGAATTGTGGGGAAATGGATCTCGTAATCTATTCACCTGACAAAGACATCACATTTTGAACTGCACATACAAAAACCAGACAAGCACCCCCCTGCATGCCTTTATTGATCTCCTTCAGATTGTCACATCAGTTTTACTATCTCAGAGATTCTTGCACCTGCGGCAATGTTGTTAGATAAATAGCGTCTATTGGAATTGTACCAGCTGCCACTCAAAAGAAAAGCTTATTTTTACGATTAAATGTCTCCCGGTTTCCTGAGCACCCATTGCTAATCTTTCTCTTGAAGCCTAAAAAAAGGCACTAGAACATAAGGATGCCATTTTGATGGTGGTGTAGTAGAAAGGGCAGGCTCACAACTGGAAAATAAATGACCAGACCTCCAGCAAGGAGTATGACATGCAGAGCACCTACCAGCCACTTGTCTCGTGCAAAGATGACTGTATTTAGCATTGACTCATAGAAAAGACAGTAACCCATCCATTCACTGATGATGATGTCTACTTTATCCACAGGCAGTTCAACTTCTTCCACTTTACCTTTAAATATTGTGATGACTGAAAAAAGAATCCAAAAGAAATATGTTTCACATAATAAAAGCCTGTTTGGAAGTACCTCACTAGTGCAAGTTATTTTACCCCTGCTTTTCATTTTGATTTTAATATATGGGCCTGATTCTCCTCTCACAGCAGTGTAGGTCGGGAGTGGCTCCACTCAAGTTCATGAAGCTTCACTAGTTAAAAAAAAGTATATGAGAGATGTGGATCAGGCCCTGTGGACTATATAATAAACAGAGAATCTTTAAGGCGTGTCTATGGTGCACGCTCCTTTTGTCAGCTTGGAGAGCCCATATACTATGTGCTCTCCCTCTTCCCCCCCAATGTCTATGGTGCACGCTCCTTTTGTCAGCATGGAGAGCCCATATACTATGTGGTCTCCCTCTTCCCCCCTGTATGGGTATATATACTTATTGGTGCAGACGGTGTGAGGCACAGCTTAAGCAAGTAAAGATATGCCAGACCCTTAGTGTATCCACATGGTTTCTACATGTCTAAGCAATGCCTTCCCCTATTTTTAGCTCTTCTTTGTCCAGCTGGCTCCTGGTTTCTGGAGTCTTTCCCCGCCACAGGGAGCTACATACCGTAGTGTGACACAGCCTGCTTTTCATTATGGCAAGTAGCCACATGTACCCTACATACCACTGACAGTGGTGTGCCCTGTAGATATACCTTTATTAGCAATATAGAGACTCTGTCAAGATAAAAAGTATGTATTTAAAAAAAACATTCCTTACCTGTTACAACATCTTAGGTTACCAGCCCTTTGGAAGCTGGCATATGTTAAAATAGTGGAATGTAAAGAATTCATCTAAAACCCTGGATACACCCATCCTCAGGCTCTGTTTGGTTTCTAGTGTTATTCGCCAGCTCGTCAGCCCCAGTCTATCAACATTCATGGAACCAGAAATTGAGTCTGATCTCACATTGACTTTGTGTGTGTTTATCTTCATTGACTTCAATGGAGTTACTCCTGACTTACATTGATACTGTACTTATAAATGGGATTTACATTGGGCACGTTACAATTTACACTACTCTGACCCACCCCCACTATCCTGCCCTCTCTCACACAGGCACATTTCCTAGTCCCAACTTCAGTCTGCCCCTAAGCTGCCTTTTCCCACATCTATTTGCAGCTCTGTCGGAAGGGTTTCTGGAAGCACAAGATGTCTTCCACCCTATCTTCCATCTTTGAAAGTGCTGGTATGTCCCTCACTGCCACTACCAATTCACCAAAGTCTTCAACTCAGTAGGCAAGAAATGGCTCAAACCTCCATGTTCACAAAGCAGCAAATAGGGAAAAGACTCTTGTATTGAAGATTACTTAAAGTTTAGCTGGAATTTAACTGAGCTGATTCTACTTCTTTAAAGACACCTTTTGCATCACATTTCTAAATTCCATTCTTTATGCCTGCAGAATTGAGTTAAGGGAGGAAAAGGACTGTCTGACTTTTTGCACAAATTCTTTCTTATATCTAGCAACTTCCAGGAAGAACCCATTTGTGATTTCTGATGCCAACAAAAGAAATAATAAAAATCCATTGAGGTTTCAGTTATTGAAGTGTAATTTTATTTTTGAACCCAGGCTGGCAATCCCTTTTCATTCTTGCCTTGTCCACACTATGATGGACAACCACAGTGTGAGCAAGGAGTTAAACTGAACAATTTAGAGGGAAAAAAGGTTCCACAAATGAGAAGAGAATTAATCCTGACATCCAAATGATTCTCATATTGAGAGAACATGCCTGATTTTTCTGTCAATCAACACATTTTTTGGAATAATAATGTCTTCAATTAACAACTTCAATCTGTGCAGCTTTCCCTGACATAGGTACATTTTGTAACTTCAATTCTTTTTGAAGCATGCATTGTTCCTCTCTGTTTATCCATGATTGGCAGACATTATGAGCTCTTGCTTTCCTGGCAAATTGAGAAGGAATGTGAAGTATCAAGAAAGAAGATTTAGTCATACATGCCATTTTCTTCATCATGTCCCCTCCATGTTTGTACTCCCTACAGGCCAAAAAGGAAGTTGTTGAATCCACTGATAAAATGGAAAGCTCCAGTAAAAAGAATTCTGTTTTCATGACCTCTGATATATTTTTTGGCTTATTTGTGTTTAATTCCCATCTCCAGGGTGTCAGCATGATGAG